AGGTAGGTAGGTAGGTAGGTAGGTAGGTAGGTAGGTAGGTAGGTAGGCGCAAGGTAGTTTTTCTGCGATGAAAATAATTATGGGCAGGCCGATGGCCCGGTTGACAAATTTTGCCCCATATATATATATATATATATATATATATATATATATACCATACTTGATGAAAAAATCACACCGCCAGTAGTGTCAAGATTCATATCGTCTTTTGTAAGGAAATTCACACCGCAACAATGTGAATTTTCCATACTAAGCAGACAGTGTTGATTTCACCCCATCACGGTGAGAATTATATAAACACCTATATGGGTGTTACAATTCACACCATTGGTGTTAAATTTACATCCATATTTTTTAGAGTGTAGGAGTAAAACACCTCTTTGAAAAAAATTAACAAAAGTTGAATGATTTGAAGAGTAGGGAAGACCGGAGCAAAGTCGTCACCGGGGCGGAGTCGTCATTGCAATTATCTCGAAATCTGTATGTTGTGTGAACTTGCCATTAATACTGTAAACGCGGCTTATGGTACCCAACTAAGTTTAGTGAGGTTATGTGCCATGTTGTGATTCTTATCGAGACAAACGTGTTTTCGGAAGTCGAAAGTAAAATTTCTTCCGCGTCAAAAGTTTGTAATATCTTAAGTATTATTGTCTCTCCGAATTTTAAAATAAATGATTCTAAAGAGTAATGCATGCTGAACACGAATCCAGTGCAGTTTTTTTATTTTCATTGATTTCTATTATTTTATAAGTAACCAAACCTAAAACTTGTGTCCGGGGCGAAGTCGTCACCAAGCCATATCATGGAGGCTTCCGGCAAAAATCAAAGCCAAAGAAACAGCAGTAGTCGGATTCCGGTGAAGACTTAGATAATATGTGCTGCGTGTGCTTAGAGATGACAATAGAGCTGACGAGAAACGTGCGAGCGAAGTGTGTGCGCTTTTCTCGTAATTATTTTCCACCATCGTGTTTTTAATTAATGTTTCCATTTTTCTATTAAAAGATAATTAATAAAATGTATTCTATTATTTTTCATGATCGGAATTATGAATTTTTATTTAAAATTCAGTCCGAGAATGGAGTGACAACTCCGCCCCGGCAATTTTTACATTTCAATTTTTGCACCTTTATTGTTTTCACTCTATACCAGTTGAACAAAGCGACGTAGACCAAAAATGTTCGTATAAATTTTGTAGCCAAGGGTATACTCTTTACAACGGTATACCACATTTTACTAAAATTATAAGAATCAAAACCTTGAACAAGGATAATTTTGATACGTGAAAGTTGCAGATGCAAGCGCTGCTAATTAAAAACGACGCTTGGGCATATGTTAGCGGAGAAATCCCGAGGGCTATTCTTGTTAGCGGAAACGCGACTTCTCAGCATGAAGTGGATACATGGGTCAAAAACGACAGTAAGGCCAAGTCAGACATCATCCTATCGATAAGCCCGTTGGAATTAAAGCAGATTAAAGGCTGCAACACTTCGCGTGAATTATGGCTAAAGTTGGAATATATTTATCAGTTGAAAGGGCCGGCACGAAAAGCGACGCTTTTGAAACAGCTCACATTACAGCACATGGAAGAAAGCGACGACATTCACGAACACATTCGGAAGTTCTTCGATGACGTGGACAAGCTCGGAGAAATGGACGTCGATATTAACCTAGAATTGCTAGCGATTATGCTGTTACACAGCTTGCTACCAAGTTTCGAAAACTTTCGATGCGCAATCGAATCTCGAGACAAGTTGCCGTCACCAGAAGTGCTCCCCATGATTGAGGAAAGTGATGCTCGAAAGAACGACACACGCGCGAGTGCCCAGAATGCCATGATTGCAAACAAAGGCAATGCTGCAAAACGTCGAAATCAGAAGAAGAAAACGACGGAAGACGACAAATCCGATACTAAAAAAGGATTCAAATTCCAATGTCATCGATGTCGTAAGTACGGACACAAGGCAGCTGAATGTAGACAAGGACGCAGCAGTGATGCACAGTCTGCGAAGAAAGTGGAGGACGTTAGCTTGTATGCTGGACTCGAATCGTCGCGCGATCAAACCGCTATGCGTGCCAACGAATCAAATACGCGAAGTGGTGCCTGGATAGCAGTGCAACATCACATATGTGTAACGAATTAAGCAAGTTTACAGACGTGGAAAACGGAAATCACGGATGTTTGAACTTAGCTAACAACGCATCGACACAAATCGCAGCAAAAGGGACAGTATCTTTCACGACAAACGGAGGCAACCGCTCGTCGGTGAGCAGAACAAGCGAACCGACTCGAATATGCGTTGATGGGTGACGCCATTTGGAGATTGAGAGTTATTGTTGGAGGCACTCTCTGGACCATCGAGTCCAGAAGTGTTGCACTTGCTGCTGAATGAGTTGCCACCGAGATAATCTGGAGGTCGGGATTGCAGAGAGAAAAGGCTCCAGAATTGTGGTAGGGGCTTCGCCGACGAGAAAGTGCCCGGGTGTAAGCACCGAAAGGTCTTCCGGGTCGTCAGAGAGAGGGCACAGCGGCCTTGAGTTGAGTACGGCCTCTATCTGGATCAGAAGGGTCGCGAATTCTTCATAGGTCAGGAGCGTGTCACCGACAGTCCGCCGTAAGTGATATTTGACTGACTTTGCAACCGTTCGCATAGCCGTGGAGCCGAGGACACCCGAGGGGCAGCAGCGACCAAGGGAGCAGCGGACATCAATATTTTCTTAGGCTAAATACCGGATAAGCGAGTCCGAAGAGCCCATATGGCTAGCGTTAATCTGAAAATACAGCAACGCGACGAATAGGGGAACCGGGGCCTGATTGACCCCGGCAAGCGGGCCGCTAATGAAGGACCGAACGAGATAACAAGCGGGCCTCGGCAGAAGAACCGAGCGGAGTAGAAAGGGACGATCGCGGCGAGACTCGAGCAAAGGGCACGCGAGATAGCGGGGTCAAAATAATGACCCCCGCGAACGAAGGCACAGCGATCATAGCCAGGGGCCGAACCCCGGAATCCGTCTCAGGGGAGACCCTGACGTCGACCACCCGACCCGCGACGCGCTAATACCACCGAGCGCGGAGATAGCTGGGTCACGACAATGACCCCCGCGCAGAAGGGTACGGCGGTCACAGCCGGGAGCCGAGCCGCGGAGCCCGTATCAGGGGTGACCTTGATGCCGACCACCCGACCAGCAACGCGCCAATACCACCGGGCGCGGAGATCTCGAAGTCAAAATAATGACCCCCGCGCCTAGGGGTACGGAGGTCACAGCCGGCGGCCGAGCCGCAAAATCCGCCTCAGGGGGGACCCGAAAGTCAACCAACCGACTCGCGACATGCTAGTACTACCGGACGCGAAGATAGCGGGGTCAAGCAATGACCCCCGAAAGTCGGGAACCGCGATAATCCGGAGGGAAGTAGCGGACGGAGGGTCACTGGAGGAGGCGCCAGAAAAGATCCGAGGAGTCAGCGAGACCACTCGGTCGTATAATCCTCGAACCCGGGAACCAGGGGAGCGGGGTCCAGGGGGACCCAGGCGTATGCGTGGGATTAATTTTTAAGATTGGATTGAGAATCGCGGGCGACACCGAACGCGAAAACAGGAAAAAACTGCCATAAGAAAAGAGAAAGCGGGCAACATCTGGCGTGGAAAAGTACCGAGATGTGAATAACAACCCATGGTGGGAGCAAAAATCCCGAGGTGGGAAGGCCGAAAGAGCCCGGCAACTCGAGGCAGTCGCTCAGATATCGTGATCGCGGTAACACGTATATAAGATTCGCTCTACAATTCGGACTTAACGCGTAGTTTAGCGTAGCGATATAATACAACCGAGCACTCCCGCGTACTTGCGCGTTAAACATAACTCGTATAACTATT